TAGTGTGGTAATAAAGCTACTTCTCGGACATTTCCATACAAAATATTATTGACCAAAGAGGGCCGGGTGGTTAGGGCGCTCGACTCGCAAACTGCGGGTTCGAATCCCCGTCACACCAAATCATGCTCGCCCTTTCAGCCGTGGGGGGCGTTATTATGTCACAGCCAATCCCACTATTCGTTGGTAAAAGAGTAGTCCAAGAGTTGGCGGTGGGTGGTGATGATTAGCTGCCTTCCCTCTAGTCTTACACTGCTAAATCAGGGACGGCTAGCGCAGATATTACTCGTGTAGCTTTGCGCGAAATTAATAACAAACTTGACCAAAGACGAGACTCTCATTGGTTCAGAGGTAAATCTGAGGGCGCATAACACTAAAAACCGGGTTTCAATACTCGTGGTAGGTACAGTACATATAGCCCATGGTGTAGCTTTGTGCTTAACAGCAAACAAACACCGGCAAGTCTGAAGACTTATAATGCTAACCGGGTTTCGATACCCGTGGTGGGCACAGTACGGATAGTTCATTGTGTAGCCTTGCACTTGACTACAAAGACAATGTTCGAGCAGTTATATCAAAAATGAAATGTTTCGATTGACCAAAGCTTTTAAGACTTTTTGTAGTGAATAAACGTAAGTATATATGCGTTATTATTCGTTCTGTAACTAAGGCAGTAATATACTTTTCATTGGGATAAATATCAATATATTTTATTGAATACATACTCGGAACTATTTTTTTTATGTTTTATTCAAAATGCGTTCTTAGTTTTTAAATGATTTTATGATGTGAGCTACTAAATAGCTACTTATTTTTATATCTACTTCTAACTTACCTATAAAATGTAAAGAATCTTTAAGACGTTCAAGTCGGATATTTGGCAGCAATCCTTTGAAAACTTTGACTATTATTCAGTTTTAAGAGGAAGTGTTGAACTAGGGGGGATTGTATCTTTGTGCAAAAAAATTCCTCCCACCTCTAAAGTACAGTATTCTCCATTTTGTCGAATTTGAGTTTATTCCCCACCCTGAAAAGTCTGGATTCAATGTTGTTAAGAGGTTGAATGCGTCATATAACTAAACATGGTGTTAGATTATAATATGCTCTGTTGATGTTCGTATATAGACACTTAAAATTTTTAATTCTGGCTTATTTCTTAAATTTCACAGTAGTATAGTTTGAAAGTAGTTGTCAGATATAAAAAGACTGGTTAGTGTAGGTATTATTTATTAATTAATTTTGTGAGTGAATATTTCATGATTGTTTAATTTTTTTCATAACAAGAGAGAGTTAAAAGCTATAATTATGACAAGTGTGGTTACTTAACTCAGTAAGAATCGTACCTAATGTTTATAATTCATTGATGTCAAGGATATAGAGATTTCTAGAAGACCTAAGTGACAGACGTATAAATAGTGGCAAGCAGACGAAAGAAAAAAAGAGCAGAAGAGAGTAAAGTTACGGGAGAACTTCGGTCAGAGAAACGTTAAACGCAAAGTTAATTGTCGTGGGAGTGAAAGGCCTAACGGTTGATATGTTAGAGTGATATTAACGATTTCGTAAGAGATAAGGAGAATAAGTTGTCTCGTCAAAGGGTGTTCTAAAGTAATTGAACCATCCTGAGTGGAATTTGACGAAAGGCAGACAATTCTTGGAAATACGAAAAGAAGCAGACGATTTTTGATACAACAGCGGTAACTCAACGACAACGTAAGTGAACTATACACGAATAATCTGGCGATAGAAATAGAGAAAAATAGTTAGACTTGTCAACTGGATTCTACAGTAATTGAATAGGCCTCAGTGGACTTTTGACAACAAGAGAACTATATAGTATTTAAGATATAACTATGACCTCCATAGTGAATGAAATTATGTACATATGTTTAACTTGTTCCGAATATATACATTATTTTGAAAACAAGTGGAGTGCGTGTTGTTCGTATATTTTTTTGAATTTATCGACAACAAATCACAGACACCTACTGTAGAAGAATCCGTAGCCCAACACACCCATATGCTTACATCAATATATATTATTAAAAAAGTAAGTTCCCGACAGTAGTGCGATGTGCTTGTTGGTCTTCCGAATTCCTTTAGCATATGTAACAATATATTTGTAATAATGGTGCCATCTGTTAGTGAATCAAGATTACGAGAACTCATATTTATAAAAAGCAATCGAAATAAGTTTTCTCAATTCGTAACTGCCGATATCTCGCTAGCTCTAACATGTGAAACTAACATAAATAATTTTCTGACAAATGGGCAATAAACTAATACAGATCGCATCGTTTCTGACGAGAGTGGTATTTCTAGTTTCTTTGCCATAAAGATAAATTTTGTTGGGAGGAGAAGGGGAGATTAGCAACGTAGAGAAAAAGCACCGATATTTTGACGGGTTACGTAAATGCATTTGTAATAGTCTTCTAATTATCAACACAATGGAAGATGACATCATCACCAAAGGTATAATTTCCCTGAAGACATGGGCGTCCGCAGAAATGTTTCCAGGGAGAGACAAAGTAGTGTGAAATTGTGAATTGAATAAAAAATTCATATACATATGCTGAATGAATAAATAACGAATTGTTTTTCATTTTCCAGCGGGGGGAGGGGGGGCAAGTGCCCTCTCTGCCTGAAGACTAACCATTATCTCATATTGACCTAGAGTTAGGGATTAAAGCCACGTGTTTTCTATTAGTCAGTTTAATAAAAACGTATCAATATTCGTTTGTGGCGCAAGACGATACTTACGACAAATGGTACCGTAGTTTGAAAACTAAGATGTTCAACGGTAGTATTTAAGTTTTCGTTTTTTTTTCCTTGAAAAAAACAATATAATATAAATTTTGTATAAAAGTCTACCTTGGTGCGTTTAGAAAACCACTTGTGTAAGGTCGATGTGGTATAACACATTAAGAGGTATTCGATCTTAAGTATGAAATGATAAATAAATAGTTTTATTTTATATGCAAGCCAATGGATATGAAATGCATAAAAAAATTTAGTAATAACTTGTACTTTTAACTTTTAGATGCTAATTGTTTTCAGGCTAAGGTTGATTAAGATGCAAATAATTTATTCTTTGTCAAAGAGTCATTGTTCACAATTTTTTTAAAGAACTTATGAGGATGCAAATTAAATGCCAGAAGATAAGAAATGTCAAATATTGGACCCAAGCTAATGTGAGGATAAATTATTGTAAAAAAATATATTAATAGTCAGACAGTATTACTGCTGTAATTCGTATTCCTGAACCATTTGATTCTTGTTATAAGAATTACAAAATGAATTAATTTATTTTTACTGTTAAGTACCAGCAAGACACAGCACACTTTCCATTTTTCAAATCAATGTTCATTTAATATTCCATTACCGAAAACAAGATTGGTTAAAGTCCAAGTAGACTGTTGCTACAACAAGTGGATGTTGGAGTAGACTGTTGCTACAACACATGGATGAATAAGAACTTGTTCAGCAACACTTGGTAACTAATACACCATTGATATTTTTTATCTACCAAAAGATGCCATGGGGAAAGTAACGCATGCTATTTTTATATTTTATTTCCTCCCAACAGTATTACATTCAGCCTTGGCCATGTGACCTTTTGACTAGGGAGTCTATACTACCACTGCAGAAGCCAGAAACTGAACAACTTCTAAATACACCAACCCACATCATTACTCACTAAATACATGTGTATTTATATAGAAATATATTTATATATATGCCTGTAGCTATCTTACAACAATGTACAAATCTATTTTACACAGCCACTTTCTTTGTGGCTTGTTTAACACAAAGCAGAAAAGAAATAAATAAGTCTTTACTGGTGAAAAATTTTAAATTGTGAGAATAAGCAGTTATTTTTCCTATCTAGTAATGATGCAATATGATAAAACAAAAAAAAACCATTAATACAGCAACAAATTCACAATTAAGTACCAATTTTTGACTATTCAACAAGTTTACACATTCAAATTAATTTTATACTTCAAAGGGATCACTTTTATGTCAAAAGTAGCCACTATCTGAACTTAAAGAGGAAAGTTTCTTTACATTATCTAGAGTTTGATGAAGTACCCTAACAGCTTTCTGCATCCAGCAGTTAAGTTCCATTCTGTACACTAGCACCAGCACTTTCTAGTCTTCAATTGTTTGTTGTTTCGGTGTTAACACAACATGGCTTATTCTTCTGATTATCAACATATTGAGAAGAGGATATGGTGCTCACATGAAGAGGTCCTAGTCTTCCAATTATCAACACAATGGGAAGATGATATCATGGTCACCAAAGGAAAACCTGAAGACACATCCTATTCTTCTGTTGTTTAACATGCTGATATGGTCATCATTTGGGACACTGGAATCTGATGCATTTGATTTCATGTTTGAACTTGGATGTCCAAAACTCTGCTTGGCACAGAGGTTGCATAACCATTATATAAACAATAATAGCTTGTGTACACAAACATATTACACAAGGAATCCTTCCGAAACCTGAGCCCTAAGCATCTGGATGCTGTTGAGTATCTTCTTCTGGTGTCCAGCTAGAGCCACACCTAAGTTGGTCAGGTCTTCATGAGTTAACCTGGCTACTGCTTCCATCGTTGTTATATTAGCCAGATTGAAATTCCCCAAATATCGACTCATCTTTAGACTGTTCAGCCACTCTGGCACAGACTTGAATTGCATCATATCTGGTGGGTGAAGATTTAGAGGATTCTGGTTCCTGAAATCAATCAAGAATATGGTGAGAACAATTCATGATGCCAGAAGTGATACTTATGTGCAAAAATTACTTAACTGTAAACAGCTGTGATATTTTTTTATACAGAGTTTGTAACTTATAATACATTGTTTACAGTTTCTATATGTATGTAGTTCATCACATAGTTATAGGTTGTTTAATTCATAAACGTTTTGGCTTCAAGTTTATTTTGATCTGTAACGAAAAAAACTGCTTAAGTACGGCTGTTAATAGCATGCAATTTGAATAATAAATAAATTAAGAATATACTGTGAATTTCCCCTATGAGTCCAGACTTCTAGAACACCCTGTATATTAAACATAAACATTCACAAACGTTTTTTAGAATGTAATTTTCATGTGGTTCTCCCAATTAAACTGGAAGTATGACATCATACTTACTTATTTATTGCCATCTGTCTTAGGCTGTCTGGACACCTACTTAACCTATCTAAGGTTTTAACTATGTTGGCAAAACTTGGTCTGTAGGAACGTTCTTTTTGCCAGCAGTCTAACATTAACTGGTGAAGAGCTTCTGGACAGTCCTAGAAAAATTTGGAACAGACACAAGATTAAGAAACATTCTATTTTGGAAATAATTTTGTTATATTAATGTTTTTTTTGCTGTATAGTGCTGTAGATCGCACTGCAAATGTTTGTTGTGCTGTAAGAACTGGTGTCATATACTTACGTTTCCGTTATCCATGCATACATATAATACATCCCAGGGAAGCCCCAAATTTTCTAGTGGTTATATTATACATAGTGTAGCCCACTTGACACATTTCATATGATGTATATCTTCACCAGGACAACATGCTTTCATAGAAGTTTTTGGATGAACTTTGGGACTTCTCTGACATTCATCACTTTATTTCTGCAGCTGTATATCACTGTCAAGCCGTGAGAAGCATTAAAAAACAAATACAGGATCAACTATATTTTCACTTATATAAAAGGTTTCTCTTCTTATAGTTCCAGAAAAATCAAAACATGAATGTCAGAGAAGCCCCAAGATTTATCACAAGTACGTTTTGAATACTGATTGTCCATAAAGTGTGTACTGTATGTACTTAGATCAAGATGAACAAATCACATAACTGAGTGAAGTAAGCCTAAAGATAATGTGCAGGCAATTTTTAAGTGCTACTAAAGATAAATAAACATGACATCACAAAACAAAGAATTCTACTCTGAAATCATAACAAGCCTGTTTAAATGGCTTTAAATCAACGTATGAAAAATTGCAACATCGTAATAAAATCACCAAAATAAATGTTCTGCACAATTACTGCTACTGCGGTGCAGGGGTTATAAAGTACTTTAAAAGAAAATCAGATCTTCTCGATACCGTGTAAGTAGTATTAAATATTACTTACAAACTGCTAGAATAATCAGCTTCATCACCTACCTAAGTATCAATGAAATAGTTTTACATCGTTAATGTATACCTTTAAGTAGAAGGAATCGTTAATAATTCCTGATCAAAATTAAGTTAACTACATAGAACAGGAGTACAAAGTAACTTTTACCCATAATGATTACGATGCATTAAACCATAAGTCCAGTAACCTTGCTTTTAATAAAATTTTATAGTACAATCTTGTAAGAATGACCCGAGTTAGGCTAGTCCTCAATCTATATGATAAAAATATGAATATTATTTTACATGTCTTGAAAGTATTAAAACATATTCTAGATTATATTGAACATCAGAATCAATAAATTAATAAAACTATCCTTAAAATATTACTCACACAAAAACAGTCATTTGCTTCTAAGCTCTATACAGTTTACACTATTGGTAGTGGAAATAGACGAAAACTAAAGTAAAAAAATTAATATTTATGTGTTTATATGAAGAAACAAAACAAACAAACAGTTCCATGCCAATAGTAATTCAAAATATAAATCCTATAATTAACCAAAGTGATGTAACAGAAAGCAGTTACAGAACTTTTATTGAGTAGTGTTTATAAGTAAGTCATCAGATGCCAAAACCACACCTCCTTCACATAAGCGTCCAGTTAAGAAGTAGACAGACAGATCTGATAAATAAAGTCAAACTCTAAAAACATAGCTTTAGATCTATAGTCTGATGTTACTATAGTAACTTACCATGGGTGCTGGAAGTCGGTATCCCTTCTCAATGCTCTTGATCACATCCTGGTTAGACCAGTTCCAGTAGGGTCGCTCTCCATATGACATCGCTTCCCAACAAACAATACCAAAACTCCACACGTCACTGGCTGATGTGAATTTCCTGAAGGCAATGGCTTCTGGAGCTGTCCATCTTACTGGAACTTTTCCTCCCTTCAGGAGTTTACATTAGAAGGTTCAACTTTATAACATATGTTTCTCAGTAGTAATTTATAATAAGTTCTAAAGCAAGCTAGAGGCAGTTAGGCTACAATGTACAATGTACAGACTCAATGTTATTGTTATGTATTTAAATATATTGCACATCTCATAATTCACTTTGTAGTTTTTAATTACACAGTCAAATTTCAGTTTAATTTAAGAAATTAAACAACTAATCTGAGTTTGAAAATAATTTTTACATATTTTTGTTTTTGAATGAAAAACGTTACGTGTGCCACTGTAAACACAGTAACAATATTCCTTATGGTGTTATAATGACTCAATGTTAGTATTATGTTATCCAAACATTACGTGTGCCACTGTAAACACAGTAACAATATTCCTGATGGTGTTATAATGACTCAATGTTAGTATTATCCATTATCCAAACATTACGTGTGCCACTGTAAACACAGTAACAATATTCCTTATGATGTTATAATGACTCAATGTTGGTATTATCCGTTATCCAAACATTCCTTATGGTGTTATAATGACTCAATGTTAGTATTATCTGTTATCCAAACATTACTTGTGCCACTGTAAACACAGTAACAATATTCCTTATGGTGTTATAATGACTCAATGTTAGTATTATCCATTATCCAAACATTATGTGTGCCACTGTAAACATGGTAACAATATTCATGATGATGTTATGATGACTCAATGTTAGTATTGTTTGTTATCCAAACATTACCATAAAATAGCCCTAAAAGCAATTTGATTTAGCTAAACTGTTTTAGCTGTCTTTTTTTTTGTAGCATTCTTTAAGTCTGTAAACAGACTAAATATCAATATTCTTATATACTTGTATGTTGGTTTTTGTACCCAAGTAACACATTCAGTAACACTTTTTGTAGAATTTATCCTGGTTGTGTGGCACTTTTTATCTGTTTGGACAGACCAAAGTCAGCAATTTTACAGACTAGAGGGTTTTTACAGTACTTACCCTGGTTGTATAAGCCCCTTCCACAGCACTTTCTATCTCTCTGGACAGTCCAAAGTCAGCAATTTTACAGACTAGAGGGTTTTTACAGTACTTACCCTGGTTGTATAAGCCCCTTCCACAGCACTTTCTATCTCTCTGGACAGTCCAAAGTCAGCAATTTTACAGACTAGAGGGTTTTTACAGTACTTACCCTGGTTGTATAAGCCCCTTCCACAGCACTTTCTATCTCTCTGGACAGTCCAAAGTCAGCAATTTTACAGGTTAAACCGTTGTTCACAAGAACATTCCTGGCAGCTAAGTCCTACAGAGAAATGACCAATTATTATTACTGTAAATAATTATATTCTTTGTAAACATTAAAACCATCTCATTACTATATAAAAGTTCTTTAGAAATAATTTATGAAGTTGCTCCCAAATAAAAATATATTAACAGCAAAGTCAGTTAAAGTTAAACAGGTAAAAGTTATTCATATTTTTGAAATGATATAAAAAGTTTGAATATATTGTAAGACAACAAAGCATTACTCTTGTATAAATTAGGCATAATTAATATTATAATACCTGACTTTCTAAAGAATATTTGTGTTCAGTAGCATATCAACTCAGTGAGGTAAACAGAAATTACATTTCAAAGCATAAGATGTGGACCTAGTTAATTTGAAATATATATACTGTGGAATATAAACATGAGTAAGCTTCTCTGGAAATAATTCATCCTAGCCAAGACTCTTAACAAAAACAACAGCTATATTTAAGTACGTGTACAATTTCCATCTCAAACATGTAATATAGAAAATGCAATACAGTTCATTTCTGTGTTGTGATCTGTTGAACAAAGTTTACTTATTTGTGTGCATCATTTATCTCAGACATCTACTTGTATAAAACACAAACTTACTCTGTGAACATAGTTCATTTCAGACAGATACTGCATTCCAGCTGAGATTCCCCTCAGCATTCCAACCAGCTGGATTACTTGGAATTTTCCATCATTTGCCTAATAGAGAAAATACAATTAATCATTGTGTATCTTTTTGTTTTGTCCCCATATAAACCAAGATAGTAATATTTTTTAACAAATCTATTAGTTTATCAGATTTGTTTTCAGAAAGTAATATACACTACTTACAGATGAATCTGCACAGTCTACCTGATGTTGTACAAACGTTTTTAAAGGAATATTAGGTACAAAACATATTATTTGGAGTACTACTATAGTTCATATGTTAGTCAACTGTTTATCAACAAACTAGCAAATTAATCTGAACACCTCTAACAATCAATAAAGTCAGGTCAGGTGTTAAAGTCATTCACACACATAACACAAATTGACATGATACAATATAATGATTACTACATTAGAGAAAGACTTCAGAGATCAGTTACTAAACATTACTCTTGTAACAAACCTACCCAATGGAAGGTAACCAGAGATCATTTAAGGACTATTATTCACACAATAAAAATGTTGAAATTGTTCCGAAATAATTTAATGTCAGAGATCATCTACTGACCACACTTACAAGATGAAGTTATTCTTAGAAAAGTGTTCAGAGATCATTTACTGACTTCCTCTTGCACAAGTAAGTTATCCTGAGGTAAATGTTCAATCATTTACTTGTTACCTCTAACATAAGTAGCTTATTCCATGGAAAATGTTTGGAGATCATTTAGTGACTTTCTCTTGCAAAAGTAAGTTATCCTGAGGTAAATGTTGAATCATTTACTTGTTACCTCTAACATAAGTAGCTTATCCCAGGGAAAGCGTTCAGAGATCATTTACTGACTTTCTCTCGCACAAGTAAGTTATCCTGAGGTAAATGTTCAATCATTTACTTGTTACCTCTAACATAAGTAGCTTATCCCATGGAAAATGTTCAGAGATCATTTACTGACTTCCTCTCGCACAAGTAAGTTATCCTGAGGTAAATGTTCAATCATTTACTTGTTACCTCTAACATAAGTAGCGTATCCCATGGAAAATGTTTGGAGATCATTTAGTGACTACTACCATTTACAGGATAAGCTTGTTCTAAGGAAATTATCCTTAGATCATTGACTGACTGCCTCTCACACAAAGAGCATATTCTGAGGAAAAATTATCAGAGATCATTTATTGAATACTTACAGGATGAACTTATTCAAAGATTATTTACCAGCTACCTAGTACATAGTGTGAACTTACCCTAAGAAAGGTGTCCAAAGATCCATTATCCATATATTCTGTAATGATCATGACAGGGTTACTTTTAGTCACCACACCTTGCAGGTAAATGACATTTGGATGGTCAAACTGGCCCATGATGCTTGCTTCTGTTAAGAAATCTACACGAGCTTTATCAGGCGATCCTGGTTTCAAGGTTTTAATGGCAACCATTATTTCTGGCTGAGAAAAAACTCTGAGTTTTCCTCTACAAACATCTCCAAATTCTCCTGCAGAAACCAAAAATATTTGATTCAGGTTACCAATACTTGATTTCATCTTCCAAGTTCTCATTTATAGTTTTTATTGAACTCAGTCAACATATTTCAAGAATACTTTCTTAGAATCAATAACTAAAGTTGTAGCTGTAAACTTCACATCTCAAATTTGTTGAAACTTCTATCATTTGCAGTAAATTAATATATATCTTCTTAACTACAAGAAACAAAACTGTAATTACTATGCTAGAATAATTCAACCAAGATATGTAATAATGTTTTATTTCTTTGTCAATCATTTCATAAGGCTAACACATACGCGATTAATTCTGATAATTCACTTCTAAACCTACACTGTAAAGTTCAATATTTCTTTCCAATTTCTGTAATTTGACCCATTTTCCTATTCTAAAGATGAAATTAGACAGAAGCTTTGAAAACGGATCTTTAGTGACTACTTTATAAATTGGGATGTATTTTACAAATCATAAACTCAAATTATTTAATGGATTTTGTTGCTCAGTATTTTAGTTCAAAACAAATTCTTTGACATAGTCCGATTGTCAAATTGATTATCTAATTACCATCTGGTAAACATTTTCTTCATAGAGTGATTGTTTCTATAGTGATACGAGAAAATTACACACCTATAACCCTCAGTACAGGTGGGTTTAAAGAAATGTTGGAAGTAGTTATATTTTATATATTGGTGCACGAAGCATCCATTACCCTTACAAACACTTACCTCCTTCAAAAACTGGTTTTTACAATGATGTAGGGAACTGTCTAATCACTTTAGTAAACACTCACCTCCTTCAAAAACTGGTTTTTATAACGATGTGGGAACTGTAATCACTTTAGTAAACACTCACCAACTTCAAAAACTGGTTTTTATAACGATGTGGGAACTGTAATCACTTTAGTAAACACTCACCTCCTTCAAAAACTGGTTTTTACAATGATGTGGAAACTGTCTAATCACTTTAGTAAACACTAACCTCCTTCAAAAACTGGTTTTTACAATGATGTGGGAACTGTAATCACTTTAGTAAACACTCAGCAACTTCAAAAACTGGTTTTTACAATGATGTGGAAACTGTCTAATCACTTTAGTAAACACTCACCAACTTCAAAAACTGGTTTTTACAATGATGTGGAAACTGTCTAATCACTTTAGTAAACACTCACCAACTTCAAAATCTGGGTTTTATAACGATGTGGGAACTGTAATCACTTTAGTAAACACTCACCTCTTTCAAAAACTGGTTTTTATAATGATGTGGGAACTGTCTAATCACTTTAGTAAACACTCACCTCCTTCAAAAACTGGTTTTTATAACGATGTGGAAACTGTCTAATCACTTTAGTAAACACTCACCAACTTCAAAAACTGGTTTTTATAATGATGTGGAAACTGTCTAATCACTTTAGTAAACACTCACCTCCTCCAATAATAGCTTCTATAGTGATGTGGGAAGCATCTATCTCCTTAGCAAACTCTCTAACTGCCTGGTTGGGATCTTCGTATGTGTGAGGATCTACGTAAGTCCTAGGACCACCACAATGGGTAAAAAGTAGAGTAGTCACTGGAAAAATAATTGAGTCATAATTACTGAAGTTCACAGATAATTGAAATAAGCGAGTCACAATTACTGAAGTTCACAGATAATTGAAATAAGCGAGTCACAATTACTGAAGTTCACAGATAATTGAAATAAGCGAGTCACAATTACTGAAGTTCACAGATAATTGAAATAAGCGAGTCCCAATTACTGAAGTTCACAGATAATTGAAATAAGCGA